TTATTTAAAATTTGAATAAATATTTTTAAACATATAAATTATATTTTAAATTTATGATAAATAATTTATATTTTAGTACAATATTATTTTATTTATAGAAAATTTATTTTAAAAATATTAAAATTTAATTAATAAATAATTATAATAAATAAAAATCAAATTAGGTAAGAGGTTAAAATTTTTTTAAAAATTCTCTCGTTGAAAAAAATCTCCTAAAAATAATTTTGTGCAAGATAAAGATTCATATTTGTACCTGAGAGTATATTTAATATATAAGAATTAATTAAAAAAAATGTGATCAAAGCCAATGTGAAAGTGAATATGTTTTAATATTACTAGAAAATAAAGGCATTCTATACCTAATAAATATTGTGTGTAAAAGTTACAAAACTATAGTGTCATTGCAACTTATTAAACAAAAAGTTGTTTTAGATACATAATATATTTTTTAAAATTAATAAAATAAAATTACTAAACTGTTCTACACTAAAAAAGCGTGCAATTAATAAAATAAATAAAAAATAATATATTTTTTTTTCAAAATATGTAAACAAAAATATTATATCACTTTTATATATTATTAATGGATAATTTAATTAAGTAATAAATCACTGCAAGTCCTTTCTAGGTGGTAAATAACAAAATTCAACCTATCTCGCAATACACACTTCGGAATTGAGCGATTCCAAATTGAGGTGAAAATTTTCTATCTAAAATGCAAGTTAGGCTAAAAAATCGCCCAAACAAATTTAGTAAAAATGAATTAGAGTAAATTAAAAAAAAACCAAGACTCTAAAAAAAAAAAAAAAGACAAGAAAGAGGCAAGGAAAAGTAAAGGAAGATGTCACGATTAGAGATTAATAAGCTTGGATAGAACAACAAAAGGAATAACTTACTTTATAAGTTTCGGTGAATTCTTTCAAGAACCTTAGAGAACAAGAAACTTGTTTTCATGTAAATTTCGATTTCCTACTATCGTTGTTTGGGATTCCTTTTATGTGGAACTGTTGAAAAAAAAAATAGAGCACAAATCAATAAAATTTGATTTATTAAAAAATTCAATATCAATAACGCAATAAATATTTCAAATTAAAAATAGAGTAACCAATAACAAACAATTAAACACAAAGAGTAAATTAAGTGATGAAACTAGTGAAGAGATAGTTGATGCTTCTCTTCAACCGGCTCTATTGATATTCCCGATCTTTATCTATGGAACTCAAAAGTTCAAAACAAATTTGCAAATGGTGGAAAGGTAAGGGATGTCATGCACAATTTCAAATGAAGATACACAAGAAGGTGAAGAATTTGTCACAATAAAAAAATTCTTGATAAAAGCTTACGAGGAATTTCTTTTTCCAAAGAGAGAACTATAACTTTTGAAAGAAAAATCTTAATTTCATTTCTCAAAATGCTCAAAATGACCCATATACACATGGAGGAGGTTATATATGGAGTTTAGAGTTTATACTCAAAATCTAGGTTAGGTTAATTTATACTCAAAATTACTAACTTTAGTTACAATTTTTAAGTTAAAATTTTATTATAAAAATATTATTATCCTAGATCTAGAATAATTAATGGGCACTTGTCACATGACAAGATGTCAAAGGTGTGACTAAATAAAACTACATAACTTATTGAAATCTTAAATGGACTGTGAGACACCTTATCCCCCTTGATGTGGACGTCTAACCACTTGTCTTTACAAGTGGACATCTCATTCAAGGGCCTTACAAACAAGAGGTATTCTAATGGACTATTCAAACTCAAAAAATCCATATTTCATTTTCTAGTTACACCTCCTAAAATACTATTTACACTCCCAAATAAAAAATTATAAGAGAAATAAATTTCTATACTACTTAATCCAAAATATTCACAAAGAAAAAATAACTTATAAAAAATGACGAAAAGCTCAATAAAAATTTAAGCTTTCTTCCCTAAGATGTAATTCATTTCTCGTTGCTCCTTTAGGACTTAAGTGACACACAATTAGCTATTTTAAAAAAAAAAAAAAAAAAATACCTGACTACACTCTTTGAATTTATAATATGTTTCTTTTTCAAGATATGTTAGCATGTCACTTCTAAAGTATGTAAGATATGTTAACAAACTTAACATCACTCTTTAAATTTATAATGTATTTCTCTTTCAACATATGTCCACATGTCACTCCGAAGATATCTAGAATATGTAGTAAAAGACTACTAGGTGTAGTAAAAGCCTAACATAGATAACCCAATCAGCCCAAACAAACAAAAGCTGAGGTTGAAAAAAAGGGCTTTGATGTGCTACAAGAACAATTCTCCTGAAAATCTAAATACACTTTTATTTAGTTTAAGAAATTCACCAAAAGTGGAATAAATAAAATTTTAGCCCTCTTTGAAAGTGAAAATAACTTAGAGGAAAGGTTGAACGTGTCTGTGAAAGCTTTTTCGCAGATGCACAAATATTAGTTATAGAAGTTTTTTGGCCCAAAAATATGAAGTATGAGAGGTAGACAAAGATAAAAATACTTAATATTTTTATGCCGATTCATTTAACTTGATTTACGTCCATTTATCTTCAAATTCACTAACTCTTTGAAATTTATAAATATTGTGATGCAAACAATTGTTAGCAGTATCTTTTTCTAGTCTTTTTAGACATTTTAGGATTACAAAAATAAAGTGTTTATAACATAACTCTCACATACATAATATGTAAGTTCAATTACACTCAATAAGGTAACTTGCACAAACAAAGATAGGCTAACTTAAGCTTTTTTTTTTTTTTTTTTTTTTTTTTTTTTTTTTTTTTTTTTTTTTATTTTTTTTTTTTTTTTTTTTTTTTTTCTGTTTTTTTTACTGTTATAATTAATTATGATTGCTTGTATTAGTGGGTAAAAATCTGCTGTAATTATGTTTACTTAGTCCAGTAGATAATATCTTGTTAAGTATCTGATTTTAGGTAAATCTACACACTTGATAATAGTAGAGACATGTGTTTTACTGACAACATTTACGGACTCTATGTATGATCATTTTTCATGTATTTGCCTTATATATGAATGAAAAACATGCGGAATAGTATGGTTGTCTAGCAAGTACGAAATTGCTTTGTTCCTTGACCTTTTCTCTTCTCTGTTTTATAATTTCTTATGATTTTTATGTTTTATGCTTTTGTTGCCTATTGCATGTCTTAACAAATATTAACAAAGTTTTGGCACAGCGAGTTTAGAACTTCTTGGTTCTCTCATGGATTCTTCTCCTATTTATAGGCTTCTTGGAATGTGATAGTTGTGTAGTTTTGAAGGGCTTTAAGACCGTTTTGATTTTGTATTATATGCATGGCTAAATTATGCGTTAATTAATGAATGTTAGGTTCAAAGGTATGTGAGATCTTCAACATGGATAAGGCATAAAGCCTTGTTGACTTGGGCTGAGGATGCTTCTATTGGGGCTGAACATTCCCTTTGTAAAATACTTTCATTTTTTTTGGACGTTGCACTGAGACTAGCACAATGGCTTGAAAATATGTGATTTGTCCAGTGGGGCCATGGTTTTCACTTTTCAGAAGCTACTGATCTAGATTTTGTAAGTTGGAATGTTGAACAGATTGACTCCATATTTTACCCTTTATTTTCCTGCGTGAGAACACTTGTCTCCTTACTTCTTTCTTAGCTGCCTTCGAGTCTTTCCGAGTCTTCCGTGCCGACCGAATTACTAACTCCGAATGGTGGGGAGGGTACCTACAAAGGCACTTCGACGATCAAGTCAGTGTTCGGTTTAGAGCAATAAATGTGCTAGTGGGAATAGTAACGTACCTCATTTATGTCACACCACCTGTATATTTATAGTGACATATGTGGGCCTGATGGGCCTTCATCCTTGGGAAATGGGTAATACATGATTTAACCTTAATCCTGTCTTAATCTAGTATGGTAATTAATGCAAAGTAGGCAGTTGGTTTGCCACGTGTTTATCATAGGCTCTTTCTTCAGGTTCTCGGCCAGACTTGGGGCCGAAGGGGTGTTCGGCCAAGCTTGGGGCCGAAGGGGTATTCGGCCAAGCTTAGGGCCGAAGGGGTGTTCGGCCAAGCTTAGGGCCGAAGGGGTGTTCGGCAAAGCTTGGGGCCGAAGGGGTGTTTTGAATAGTTTCATACCCCTTCTCTGGGTTTTTGGCTACTCACGAGACCGAGGGAGTGCTCGGCCAAGCTTGGGGCCGAAGGGGTGTTCGTCCAAGCGTGGGGCCGAAGGGGTGTTGTGTTTCATTCGGCTAAGGCATTCCTTTCGGTCTATTTCCTGTCCTGAGGGGGCAGTTGGTGTGGTTCCTTGGTTCGGGCCCCCCTCTCGGCCCATTGTCCGACCGAAGGGGTGCCAATTGGTGCGTTTCATTAGTTTGGGCGCCCCTTTCGACCTATTGCATGACCGAAAGGGTGCTTACTAGTACATGCATGGCTAAATTATGCGTTAATTAATGAATGTTAGGTTCAAAGGTATGTGAGATCTTCAACATGGATAAGGCATAAAGCCTTGTTGACTTGGGCTGAGGATGCTTCTATTGGGGCTGAACATTCCCTTTGTAAAATACTTTCATTTTTTTTGGACGTTGCACTGAGACTAGCACAATGGCTTGAAAATATGTGATTTGTCCAGTGGGGCCATGGTTTTCACTTTTCAGAAGCTACTGATCCAGATTTTGTAAGTTGGAATGTTGAACAGATTGACTCCATATTTTACCCTTTATTTTGATTGAAGCTTCTCAACAAAGAACATTCCATTATGTCAACATAGAATTGTACAATGTTGGACATTGTGTCAATAATACTATTCACTAGTCAGCAAAATCGTAAAATGTGCTATCTCTGGCACAAAGAGAATCGAGAATTAACTAATAGTGAATAAGCATTATCTGAAGTTTTTAAAGTCAATGGAACATATTCGTTAATTACTCCTTTGGAATTTGGATACTTGAAGAGAAAGGGACTAAAACTGAAAGCAAACTTGGCATCTTCCCTTTGGAATCCACTAAACTCCCTTTTCCACTTTCATCTTTTTCTTTCCCTATAATTTTCAAAACGCTTCTCTTGTCTTTAAAATTTTGCATGTATAGAACTTATTACTTCCTTCTGATCCTTTGGTTGTCCCAAATTTATTTGCTTCTTAAGTTGTTATAAGCCACGAACTTGGAATTCTGAAAGTAAGTTTCTTTTGCTTGTCATGTATTTTCGTTTCTCTTGTTTAATCTACTTCATATCTTGTTGGGCAATGGAGAAAAAAATGGAATTTTTACTTTACCATAACAAAAATCACCAAATTGGTTCGAAAGATTCAAGAACTGAGAATCTCTCTTGAAACTTGTATATTCATATTGATGTTGGTTTTTAAACAAATAATAATAATTCTCTTATGTTGATTTGTTCTGGTCAAGCCAAATGTTGTGTGATCCATGTAGCTCACCTCATCTTATGGGTTTAAGCTTTGTTATTCTTGTTGTTTTGATATTAAATTATTAATCAATATATTAAAGAACTTATTGTTATACAAGTTTTCAAATTGAAATCATTCATTTTGGCCCTTGATCATTACTGAAATTTCCTTATTTTTTTAAGAGTAAAACAATTTATTTTCCGTGGCTGGTAGAAAATTAACACATGATTAAATCCTTTTTTATGTATCCTTGTCCCCTCATTCCAAGGAATTTTAATCTTACCATTTGCTTTCTTCTTAAGTTTTTGTCCAATAAAATGGGAGCAACAATGTGTTGTATTGGTAAGTCAAGCAAGAAAACGTGCTTGGATGAGAAGCTTGGAAAGAAAATAGCTGAAATAAGAAGAAATAAGCTTGGAGAAAGTAGATTGAAATCGATTGATAGTATAGTTATGCTGTTCCCTATGTTCAAGGAGAGGCTGAAAACATTAAGAGGAATGTTTGAACAATATGGTAAGTTTCAAAAATAACCCATGCATGACTCTTAAATTTATTATAGAAAAGTGACACTCTTCAATGTTGTATTTTTCACAGATGAAGATTCTAACGGATCTATAGAACCCAATGAACTAAAAAATTTCTTAGAACATCTGGAACTTCATTTCACAGAGCAAGAGATTGATAATCTTTTTCAGTACTGTGATCTCGATGGAAGCAAGGGTATACAGTTCAATGAGTTTATAGTTCTTCTATGCCTCATTCATCTCCTAGCAGAACCTTCATCCTCTGATAACGTACTCTTCAGAAACTTGATTTTGTACTTTATTGATTTTGAAACTGATATATCTTCCTAAATCGTGCAATCAATATATACTGATTAAATTTTTCTCAGTCATCGAAAGCAGGGTTAGCACAGGTTGGAGAAATTTTCAATACCATAGTTGAGGTCTTCGTGTTTTTTGATCAAAATGGTGATGGGAAAATTAACCAAAAGGACATGGTCAAGACACTGAATGAGACTAATCCAAGGGAAAGATCCCCGGCGCGCATCTCTAAACACCGATTTCGTATTATTTACTTCACTTTAGTGATTCTTCCATAGCATGATCTGTTGTTTCATCTTTCATTTCCCCATCCTCATTTTTATTTGTTACCTTTTTTTACTTCACTTTATGATTTTGTCTTGCAGAAGAAATGGACTGGGACAAGAATGGTCAAGTCACATTCAGAGAGTTCCTCTTTGGTTTTATTAATTGGGTTGGAATTGATGCTGATGAATAGATGCATGAAAAGAAGATATACTGAAGAGAGGAGTAACTGAAGTTGGATTGTGTTGAATGAGTGTGAGCTTGAGTATTCTCATTTTCTTAAGATTGTGTTGGAGAAATTTATACTTTGTTGGTGGAATGAAAACTAGAAAATTTGAAGTAGGAATAGAAATACATAATTTTTGTCATGCTTCAGCAGTAAGATACACTCATACATTAAGTTTCTCTTATACACTTTGCTTGAGGAACTGAAAACTAGATAAATTGAAGAAAGAATAGAAATACATAATTTTTGTCATGTTTCAGAAGAAAGATACACTCATACATCAAGATTCTCGTATATACACAACCTAGTATAGATATTAAGTGGACAAAATAGATCAAACATGAACATAAAATGCAGATAAAGCTTTCTCTATTTTACAAAAATTTCAGTTCTCATTAGGCCACTTCAATACCTTCTAAACTTCTTAGTGTATTCCTAGAGCTTGGATTCTCCTAATCATTGACAAAGAAGAATCATTTATCTGTCTCCATTCTTCCCTGCTCTCCTTGTTATTTTGGACAAGTAATTTGTCATTGCCATCAAGGATGCTTACAATTTGTCTCATGCTTGGTCTTAACTGCGGGTTACAACTAGTACATGCAATTCCTAACCTTATCAATCTCATCAATTCTTGATCATTGTACTCTCCATTGAGTCTTATGTCAGCTAATTCCTTCAATGGCCTTTTCCTCATCTCAAATTCATGAACCTTCTTCACCAAAAGCACCTCTGGCTGTCTGAAATCCACCGCCATCTGTCCACTAACAACTTCAAGCACAACCACACCAAAACTATAGACATCAGCCTCAGTGGTTGCTTCACCAGATTCCACATATTCTGGTGACATGTAGCCAAAAATCCCGCGGACTGATTTTCTGGTGTCAGTGACCACATGATGACCATGCTCATTCCTTGATAAGAATTCGGCTAGAGCAAAAGAGCTGAGTCTTGGATTCATATCTGGTTCAAGAGTGACAGCTGAAGATGTAATGTTTCTGTGGATCACTTGTTCATCCCATTCCTCATGCAGATAGAGAACTGCAGAGGCTAATGATTTCACTATGTTGTACCTGTGGTGCCATTTAAGTACAAAACTCCCAGTTCTACTTCCACTGTTATGATGCAGAAGCTGTTGACTGAGAATTCTTCTTGCGGAGTAATCATAAATAACAAGCATCTCTCCTTGCTCAGTGCACCATCCACGAAGCTGAACAAGATTCCTATGGCGCAGCCGTCCTAGATTCCGGAGTTCATTGGAGAATCTATCACGCAATGCAGGACACGTCTTCATCCCAAGGCGTTTCACCAAAACATGGCATTTGTCATCAAGTATGCCATGGTAAGCTGTTCCAAAGTCTAGCTCAGCCACCCTTCTTGAATCTGAGAAGTTATCTGTAGCAGAAACAATCTCCTTGTATGATACTTCCCTCGGAGTTTCAACCACAGGAAATGGTTGCTTGTGGTGATTCATGCTCTTAGAAGAGATGATTTCACTGTTTTTGTGCTCAGCAGTGACATACACAGTTTCACCATTGGCTGTGACATAGTTTGATGAAGTGTAGTTGGTGATTAGGCTAGCATTATCTGTGGTAGAGCTAGTGCCACTTGAGCTGCCAGGACTGTGACTAGTATCAGATGCTGAAGACAAAGAGATGTATAAAGGGTGGGAGAGAAAAGAAGGGAGTGATGGTAAATTGAAAGAAACATCGGAAAGTGCTTCCACAACCCATTTCATACTTGGCCTAAATTGTGGCTCATGGAGTGTGCATAGGAGGCCTATGTGAATGAAATGCTGCATTTCTGAGAACTTGTATGATCCATCTGGTAACCTAGAATCAACTGCTTCCAGAAGCTTCCCTTCATCAGAAAGCCTTCTGATCCAATCAAGCAAAATGATTTGTTCATCAGGGTATGTGAGATCAATTGCTCTCCTCCCAGACACCACCTCTAGCACAACAATTCCAAAGCTGAATACATCAGATTTGGAGGTAGCATTGCTTGGTTTCTGCAAGCTTTCAGGTGGAAGATACCCAATTGTGCCACCAATTCTTGATGTCTCTCCTAGCCTGAAATGGCCACTTCTAGTTTTTGTTGTTGGTTTTTTCCTATTGTTATACTCATACTCATACTCAAGCTCATGTTCTAGCCACCTTGCCATGCCAAAGTCACCCAACCTAGCATTGTAATGGGAATCAAGCATCACATTGCTGGTCTTAACATCCCTATGAATGATTTGAGTCTCTAGTTGTTCATGCAGATAGTACAATGCAGCAGCCAAACCTTTCACAATTTTCCCTCTTTGTCCCCATTCAAGAGGACCACCCTTGAAATTATCATGCCTGCGAAATAGTACACGGTCAAGGCTTCGGTTTGGCATGTAGTCATAAACAAGATGCAACTGATCCTCATGCACACACCAACCCCTCAGCCTCACAAGGTTCTTGTGGCGAAGATCAGCTACAGCTGTTAACTCTGCTGCAAAACTCTTCTCAAATTGCTTTCCTTTCTCTGCCAAACAGCACTTCACAGCAACCAAAGTTCCATCACTTGGTAAAACGGCTTTGTACACTTTGCCAAACCCTCCACTCCCTAGAACTTGGTCTTCACTGAAACCGTTTGACCCTATGAAAAGCTCTGCGTAGCTGAAAATTCTGGGGTTCTCCCTGCCAATTTTGACAGAAAATTGCACACCATCCATGTCATGAAACAACACACCAGAGTTGTTCTTCCCTTTGTGTTCTCCCTTCTGGCAAATTCTCCACCACCCTGAGTCATATAACTTGGCCAAAGAATCACGAAGCAAAGCAAGAACTTGTCCCCCACAAGCCCTGTGTGGTGGTTTTTTGGCCTCAACATGTTTCTTTGGTGTTTGAAAGGATTCAAGTTGGTCACCCTTTTCAAGTGGCACCACTATTTCACCTGAATTTGGTGGTAAAACAATGCAGAGACGATTGAACTGCATGGCTGTGGTTTTGGTGAATGGTTTAAGAGAAAACAAAGGTACTACTATATTTGAACAGGTGTTGTAGAAGATATTGAAGAGGTGCTTTGGTATTTGATTATGACATTTAATTGTTATTGGGGTGGTGCCATATTTTTCAACGCGTTTAGTTTGAATAAGTTGAATTTTATACAACTATAAACTATTGGCCAAATTTGAACCAACCTCTGATGTGATGTCAATGTGTATTGCAGGCATTTTTTTTTTAATTGGAAATTTTGATTTGTTTCTTGATCTCCTAAAAGTGTATTTAATTATTGCTTTCACACATTGAATTAATGGGAAACAATAAAGTCAGATGTTTCTCGTGACACATCTAGAAAGGAATGAAAAGGATAAGGCAAGAGAAAAAGAAGAACGATATGCCTTTTCGCTTCATTTAAATGGATGTCACCATCTGCCCCAATATGCTATGCATTCTTATCTTTTATTTGTATAAATGTAGATATCACTTAATATCTAACTGAACTTTTTATGAATTCATGACAAACTTTCTATATCATCATTTACTAATGAGCTTATTTTTATTTATACTATTATGTACGAGATTTCTCATATTAATATCGAGTTTAATTTTTATTTTAAAATTATCATTTTTTTTAACATAAATTTTCTATAATTGGTATCATTTTAGGTTAGAAGTCATCAGATGTAATATTGTCTGATTAATGTAACATTATTTTTATTCATCTTTTTGTAAAAAAAATTTAGGTTGTTGGTTGATCATAATGTTTAAAAGTAGGATAAAACATTATCTCAGTATCTAAAAGTGCACGTTTCTAACATTTTAATTATTGAATGTACTAAAACTATAAATAAGTCTTTAAGAATTTTGGTTGTTTTATTTAAATATCTAAAAGTCACTATTTATTATCACTTTATCCTTAAATATATGTTAATATTATTATTTAAATCACATACTCTTTTGAATTTTGAACTAATTTGAGTATAGTAATATTTTATACTTTCAAGAATTCTTTTTGAATTTTTATATTTTCTCGATCTAAAGTATTAGCAAGATGCACTTTTAAGATTCTAAATGACATTTTACACTTAAAAGTAAGTTGAGAATTAGCCAACTTACTAACAATAAGCAATTGACTTGATCAAGCAGATGTGAGAGTGAATCATGGACTCTAATTAACATTTTGTACAAGTTTAATACTGTTTATGTTCTTATATATAAGACTCAAATACTTAATTTACCAAGATTAGAAAAAGTAGTTAGTCTAGTTATTAATAATAAATTTGTTATATTTTTATATATTTTCTTTTCAAAATTACTCCCGTACTATTTTTTCTTTTAATTAATACTACTTCTTTTTTAACTAATTAGAGTGTATGGTTGATATTATTTTTCTCTCATAATTAATATTGTTTACTCTTCTAGAATATTTTAGTCTAAAAATAATTAATACATCAAATATTATGATTTGAATTTTATATAAAATGAAAAATAATTATTTAAAGTTGGATCTTATAAATAGGAACAGAGATAGAATATTAGTAGATTCTTTAAATTTTTTAATTTTTTTTAATTAAATCTTTAAACTAAAAGAAATTGTAATCTTTGTTAAAAGTACGACGACCTAGGTTCAATTCTCATTGTGACCATCTTTGTAATCTTTTTTATCATTAAAAAAAGAAGAAAAAATTGTAATTAAATGTTGATGTTTTAATTTTTTTTATTTAGATTTATAGAGTTAATAAAACCTTCGCAAATTGTTACTTTTGTGATGGATTGAAACAATCACAAATTAACGACAGAAACTTAATTATAAAAAAATGTAAAATATTAAGTATCTAATCGCAAATTTTTAAAATTTCAATTAAAAATTTCCAAAAAGAAAAATTCAAGGACGGATCTTACTTTTGTATATTATGAGAATCTCACTGCAACTATGAAGGCATGGGAGTTATCAACGGTAGGAGATTTGGAGTATTTGCGTAAGCACATTGGAGAGACATTGTCTCCGAATTTTAGGGGATGTCTGAAATAATAGGGGCTTCAGATAAAATAATAATAATAATAATAATAATAATAATAATAATAATAATAATAAATAAATAAATAAATAAATAAATAAATAAATAAATAAACATAGGCAAAGCATATGGAGGGTTAGTGATGTTATGATAGTTTTCTCAATCAACATCGAAATATAGTTATATTTATAGTGAATTATTATTATTATTATTATTAATAGAATTGAGATGCTCTATATTTTTATATTTAATAAAATATTTAAAAATTATTAATATTTGATAAA